CTGATGCTAAATATGCAGTGTGTTGTCCTTCATTTTGCTTCTGCAGAAAAAAACTTATGCACTCGGGTCACCTGCTTGCCATTAAAGCCTGGTCAAAGGTGGGGTGGTGTTTGACTGTACTTGCTCTTCCGCCCACTGGCATTGTGTTTGCCACCTTCACTTCAGCTTCAGAAAACTGGGCAGAACATGCTTTAACTAATAGGATCTGCCATATCAATGCTGATGTTTCAAAGATTAACAGCGAGTGATTTATTTGGCAGAACAAAGCTACAGTAGTGCAATAGTCCAGTGACATGTTTGCAACTAAATGTCAATGTTTCAATGTTAAGAGTGACGCATAAAAGTCACTTTTTAGCCTCCATCTGACCGTCTATTGAACTTCAACTGAGCAGTTAAAGAAGAGAAGCATTCAAATCACCGTGAATAGCTGCCTTGTGGATTCATTTTGCAGCAGCCATGCATGTAGAAGCCTATCCTCAGCAGTGGAAAATCTCAAAATCTATTCTTACCATTGCCAGCAAAGTCTGGCAACTGCCTGCATGTGCTAAATTCATTTAAAAGCATCTTTTGACGGCGTTCAAGGACCAGGACACTGGTAGTTCAAATTAGGTCGTTTTCTCAGAGCTGCCAACCAACAGAAACTGAGGTGGTTCATTATGCAATCATCATAATTACATATTGAGTGTAGGCAGAAACCACCTTCTAAACACAGCCAGCAAACCCCAGGTTGCACCACATTACCTTAATGCCTGTGCATCTCTGCAGGAGATGCACGCAGCACTCACCAGCCCTGCAGCGCTGGCTTTAGCTGCCCTTTTTTGCTGATGCAGAGCACCTTGTCCCATCTCCTCATTTGCACCGCTGGCCAGTACATACACACAACCGCCTGCTCCCCCAGCCCTTGCCCACCAGCCTGCCAACAGCTGTAGTAGTGGAAAAAAAAAAGAAAAAAAGAAAACCAGATGAAGATGATTTTGTTGAAAGGAGCTGCTGCACGGCTTGGATCACGGTCACCTGCTGAAGGCTTCCAGGACTTCTGTCTCTGCAAAGGCTTGCAAGCTCCTGCATTGTAAGTCAACAAGGCAGGGCTTAGCCTGCACTGCTCTATTTACAGCCTCTGTGTTTTTACTCCAGCACATCCCTCATGGAAACTGCACCTGACTCACAGATTAATTCCTCCTCACCCACCACCTGCCTCAATAAATAAATAAATAAATAAATAAGTACGTAAGTAAGTAAAGGGCCCATCTGTGGTAACACTAGGACTACAGATTCAGCTGAAAAACTTGAGTTCTAAATTACTGGAATAGAATGAACAATTTTTAAGAAATGCCTGTAAACTACTCATATTCTTTTGTCCTGATGAAAGAGGGTGCACAGCACGGTTTGGAGTTTTTCACACCTGCTGGAGTAGCTCTGAGTTGTTCAGCACATAACCATGTTGTTCCCTTCTGCAAATGTATCTTCTTTACAACCTTTAGAAGCAAGCCAATTAATTACTGAAATGTCAACATGTGATGCAACAGATTTACAGTTTTTAATGTCTGAAACACCAGGAATCTTTTTTTTTTCAAGTTCTTAGGCTTCTTCCTACATCCCACACTGTTTTCGCATCTCATGGATCTGCTCTCACTAGCTCTTATGCTTGATTACATAGCTGGTGTGTGAGGAATCCTCTGCAGCGACAAAGTGTTGACAAAAGTCTTTTCCAGTCTTGCTGTAAGTAGGAGTAAGTATATAGTAGGAGTAGTAAGTATATTTTCCAGCCATAGAACCTCTTTGGAAAACTAAGCTCATCTTTGGTGCACTTTCTTCAGATTCTGCTCATCACACAATCGTGTTCAGATTCTCTCTATTCCTGAGGTATCCTAGATCTGATTTTAAAAATATGGCAGAAAAAGCATTTTTGGGTTTAAGATCCTCACAAATGCCTGGATCCAGCCTTATTTGGGACTTGGTAAAAGCCACTTTGTTTTCCTGGGCTTGCAACAGCAGATACGTGGTTTCCTGCAAACTCCCCTATAATACTTGATATTGTTTTTTCCCTGCTTTCCTGGGCTTGTTCAAAATGTATAAATAGCTATGCCTTTTAGCATTTTGGCTTTATCTTTCCTTGTTTGCAGGGAGCAGCCGGCACCATTGACAGTTACACAGAGCAGTATCAGTTCACTGATGCTTCCCCAATCCAAAGAAACATCCGGACCAGGACTGCTCTGACCCCATAGCTCATTGCTATCCAGAGGCACTTCCCACAGATTTGCAAAATATAGTACATTTGGGCACAACCCAGCTCCATGCCACATAAATTCAATGCAAACAAACAGAAGAAACCATGTGTAATAAAGAAATCGGTTTGATTCTGGAAATAAGGGTTGCTTAATCTCTTTTCTGTTGTAGGTCCTCACTACTATGTTTTGGCATAATCACACCTTTTAAATAAAAAGGCAGCAGAAAACACATAGAAAAGGCAAAGAAATATTTTACTTCTGTATATTTTACCTTACCCTATTCCGCCCAACAAGTAATAGTTACCTCTACAGGACTTAAGAATCACCATTTGCCTCTGCAGTCACCCCTCAGCATCTCCATATAGACTTCTGGAGTTCAAGGGTAATCCTTAGCAGTATAATTACCCCCTTCTTATTTCTCTGAAAATCCTCCTGTTTGTGCATCTGAGCTTTTACATTACACCTTCTGTTCTTCAAATTCTTCAACGGAAGGCTCCTCTTGAGATTAAGAATAGTCCTGACCTAATCAGAAGATAGAAATTCCTTCCCTGTTTGGACAATCAGTGCTATGAACACAGATTTTTAGTGCAGCTATATTTAGATATGGAAATCATGTCTTACAACCAAATTCTTTAGTTATAGCACATTTTTAATATTGGAAAAATAAATCACCTCATAATTCAGATTACTAGCATTCACACTGGAGAAGTATTCATCCCTGGTTATCTAGGAGATTTTGCAGCTGTATTTCATCATCTTGCTTACTGAAAGTGATACTAAAGTAACAGGTAATACCCTTTTCCTCAGTAGTAAAATAATGTGAGTTTCACCCAACCTTTTACCAGCTGGTAACTCATGAAATATCCATCAACATAATAGCAGGTTGTTCAAGAAGAAGGACCAAGAATAGCCTTTGGTGACTTAAAGCTAAAGCTTCTTTTGAGAGACAGAGAGAGAGAAACAGAGAGAGAGAGAGAGAGCCACCACAGAGACATTACATTATTAAAAATAAAAAATATGATCAAGAAGACAAGGTTGGAGGTGAATGGGGTTGTTCTACAGCAAGCCCCACTTCATCTTCTGTATGCAATATCAGAAGGCATACAGTTATGTCTTGCAAAGGCCTGCATGGACTTGTCTGCAAATTTCTGGGCACTAACTGCAGCTGACACTGCTCGGTTGCACGGCTGCTTGCAGGCAAAATCATGCCACCAGCTGCAGAGCTAGGCCTACAGTTTGCTTCTCAGAGTAAGAGTAGTTGTCTCATCACTTTAGTTACATCCCATCGTATTTTTCAAGGACTATTATTGCTGGAATAAAGCCAAACTTTGGGTATAGGTGGCTAGGCTAGGTGACTTGAATACACACACCAATGTGGAGCCTAAGGTAAGGGTAGCTGAAGGCAGCAGTTAGCTTTCATTATGGTGGCAAGCAATTCACTCCAGCTCTTCTGGGGGCCAGATGCAACCTCAGTATTATGTGTCTGGCAAATGAAATGCTGCCTCTGCTGTTCTGGAAGAGCTGAAGGGATGGTCAAGGACAGCCTGCTTCTTATACTTATAAGTGAGAAGTTTTCACTTCAGGCTCTCTCACAGCCAGACAGGGAAACACATCACAGAAGAGAGCTGTATGATTTGCATAAACCCTTAGACAAACAACAAAAAATTCAAGAAGCCTAACACAAAGGTAGGCAAGACATCCAGCCCTTCATTTAGAGTTAGAGTTAAAGTCTGCACCTTACAGATTCTACTATTTCTCAGGGTAAATGCTCCTCTCTTTTCAAGAGGTGCAGGTCATGGTTTCTGCACCTCAAGGAACAAATAAAGAATATTGACAGACATTTACAGTATCTAGAGGTGAGCAGATATTTTGGACTAAGAGAACCAAGTAGAAATGCTAGAGAACTGAGTAATTTTTCAGTTGAGGGTTATCTGCATTTGTAGCATCCTAAAAATTTCTAGTCATTTCTAGTTGCTAACTCTCAGCAACCACTGAAGAACTGTACAACAATTTCTAGCACAGCTCTTGCCCAGGAAAAAAATCCGATGAAAAATTTCAAGAGCTCAAGGCCACATCACCTGCCAGAGGCCTAATAAAAAGATCTGCCACCTGGCTTTGGCCCAGCCCAACTGCACTATGGTAAATCTGCTGCTATGGCATCCAATATGAAAGTTAAAGAAAAATTGTGCAGTATTAATATTAAGGATATCCTTAAAAATTGTTCTCACACAAACAAAATAGGAATGCTTAGAAGTTTAACCTCCGCTTTCCCTAGCATGTAGGTCAGAAAGAGCTTCTTTCAGGTTTGGGTGCCCCCACACATCCCTTCACTCCATGCTTCTCTAGAAATAAATACAGTGCTGATATGCAAGATTTTCCCCTGCTTTAACAGTCCAGATCTGGTGATTTAACAAATACTTTGCTGTGCAAGTTCAACTTGGTAATAAACATTAAATACATACTTTGATTGTTAACTAGTAAAACCTTCTCCCCCCACAAACATACAATATGTCTTACTTTTTATTAAGTATCAAATTGTCTCCAACATAAATTACATCCAAATTACGTAAGTTTCAAGAAAGTCAGATAGTTTATATATAATATTTGTCTTGAGTCGGGCAATACCCTTTACAATTTTAACCTATAACATAAAAAGCAAACCTGTATCAGTACCAAATAAAGCATTAAAAAGGTAACAAATATAAAACTTCTTAGAAATGCTTTGAGAATGCTAAAGTTAATGACAAAAATTTTATAGTGCATTTTTTTTCCTTCCTCTTTACACCATTTCTCTGTTTTTGCGGATAGCACAGCAAAGAACCATGCTGAATATCATGCCGAATATCTGCAAAGAGAGCAAACTCATTAGAAAATAGAGGTTGAATAAATATCCTCCTCCCACCACAGGGAAGAGTAACTGCTCTTTCTGACCCAACAGCCACATGACATTTTATTTTGCAGTTCATCTTCCCAGTTCTTCCCACGTCTCCCAAAACAATGAACATTTCACCAACTTACACCACCCTCCATGTGCAAAAACAGATCAGCTAGAACAGATCAGCTACACAACTCTCAGTCTCCCAAGAAAGCTTTGGTCATCCTTGTATATTTGCATCAATGTCACACTGTAGCTCCATCTGCTCTCTAGGACAGCCAGTAAACCAGCAGAAGTTTTCTTGCCAGCATTTAATTCTTAATTTTTCTAGGAGCCTTTTATTATTTTAAGAATAAAGGCAAGGATCCCTGAGACATACTGCAATTAAGAAGTGGCCAGGTAACACAGCCAGTATATCTCAGCCCTACATCTACTACCAATACAGCTTAACCACTATTAAAGTTACAGGGAGTCAGTTCCTGATCCAAATCAAGAACAATGAGGAACGAAACACACCACACACTGGGCTGTCTTCGCTTTTTCCCAGTGGAGTGGTATGCAGAATGCAGCATCAGGCACTGAGATCTAGTAAGGACTTGTACTTTCAGTAAATACCCTTGACAATACAGCTACTGTACAAATAATCTGAAAACTCACCATTATTATAGCAATGCCAAGGCCAACTGCTCCAATCACGTTCAATTTGGAGTTAAAGACATCATCAATGGCATCAGGGCATGACTGAAAAGAAACAGACTACTCATTAGCATTTTGGATGATGTATTTGGGCTTGCTTGTTCGAGCTCAACTCTGACAACTGATGATATGCTTCTGATGAATTCTTTCTGTAGGAGAGACTCACATGTGAAAGTTTTTTGAATTGGCCTTTATGTTCATGTTTTTAAAGGGAGAGAGAAGAGTTATCTATCAGCTTCATTTGTGCTGTAAGTTTAAATCTGTTCTTTAATATTAAGTCTTTTGCTAATAGAGATGCATAGTGGCCAAGAAAATAACCAGGAACTTATACTGAGGCATATAAGTCTTTAAGAACTTAGTAGATGGTCAAAACAACTCCTGTCCTATGTATTCCACAATTAGACCAGCATAAATTGCTGCACACTGCCTTTTTGTTTATTTACTCCTTATTCAGTCCACAAGGAGAAACCAAGTCTGATATTATGGAGGAAATGGATGAATTGAATTAGAATATCAATACAGTAGTACTATCTTCAAAAGCATATAGCCACAGCATAATATCCTTTTAATCCTTCCTGGTTTGGACTAAACCAAACACTTAGCAAGCTAAAGTCAACAAAATAAGTTAAAAACAAACAAACAGACAAAAAAAATCAAAAAAAAAAAACTTTAGTGGAATAAAAACAACTGTATGTTGGCACAATCATTTTCATGCAGTCCAACTGAGATGGTTAGGATTAAACCTAACCTGCATGGTTAGGACTAAATATATTGATTGTCATTTTTCACTTGGTCAAGTATGATTCAAAGGCGCAAAGTCATCTACAGTGATATGAATAGCACAATTAATTATTTAAATTTCACATCCTTGAAACTCTACATAAGAGTTTTTAGTCAGTCACAGAATATGACACATAAATAGCCAATAAATAGATATAACCAAAACAGATTTAAGAAAAGCAGGAAAACACTGAACAAACCACAAAAACAAACAAAAAACTCCAATCTCCTCTTAGAACACCAAGTTAGGGCAGAAAGCAGCAAGAGCTACAGGAAGAGAACAGTGAAGAACAGGATAGTGTCTCTTCTATTTGTGGCATATAGGCACTTTAATGGCAATATTTTAACAGAAGAACCAAAGTCAAGACTCTGGCTTCACAGTAAGTTAGCTAAGAAAAGGCCATCAGTTCCTTACCTCTCTCCCTTTTGCACTATAAGTTGAGACCTATTCCCGCCCCCATGTGCTCAATCTCCTGCTGATCAAGGATGTGGTGAGGGTACAGAATCATAAAAGGCAACTGGTGATAGAAGCACAGCAGTTAAGAACTCAGCTCTTTGGTGTTTTAGGTGAAGGTTGGGCATTAGGAAATTCTTATTCCACCCAATTTAACGACATAAGGACTGCACACACTCTGTGCAAATTCAGTGCCCTGGTTTCCTGTTAATCCACAGGAACAACACAAATTCCCCACTACTGGGCTGATCATCCAGACAGGTTGCCAAGTAATGTAATGGTAGAATTCTCCCTGGCCTGTGCGGGTATATTCAGAAGTGCGTTTCTCACTCTACTCTTCTGTATATGGATGTCAGGCAGAACTGTCAGTGAATTACTGAATTTACCTTTACAGCAAATGACTCAAGAAAGCTCTTCTTAGGACAGGTGTCCATGAACTGCTGCTCAAGACCTCCTGTAATACCACAACAGTTCAGCTACAAGAGAAAACAGAATGAGGTTAAAATAAACAAAAACTCCCACGCACACTATACACAAGTTTGTTTGGAAGTACCACCAATTTGATTGCTACAGAACTAATTTTAGAAAGCATTTATTGCATTGAAGGACAAGATTCTGAAAGAAATAGATCTCATGCAATGGTTTGGGTCACAGCTGTGTTCTTTATTAATGCAAAGACGAATTTCTCATGCAAGCTATGCACATATGGTCCTCTAGATCAATGCCTCCAAACATGAGTTTCACAGCTTTTTACTAAGTTCCTTTTGGAGAGTGGGGTACTAAAACAAACCTCTGAACACACCTTTTTTCCAATATATATTTCAAAGGTTCAAAAGATACTAATTGCTATACTGAATTCACTAATGCTGTAAAAATAAATAATAACCAAAGAGAAAAGTTTTACCTGTAATTTGTTCCTAAATTTGGTTTCTTACAGTTAGTAAGGTTCTAGATTTGTTCAGAGTACAGGGTGTCCAAGAGCAATATGAACAAATTTGATTACTTTCCAGTTCAAAAACCAAGTAGAACAACATACTTACAGCTAACTGAAATGCTTTCAGTGTTTCCCTGGCAGTTACTTGAGACCTTTTTTCATAGGTTTCCATGTAGAATTCTTTTAGCTCTTCAATCACCTACAAGGTAACAAAGAATTAGCTTCTATTTTTCTTTACTTTGATTAATATTACTTATGGAAAACTTGTTTAGGATTAGTCATCATTGCAACCTACAATACCCATTCTTTGGTAAAGAGAAAAAAAGGGTGCAAACAGAGGGTGTATAGCACTTCTTATCTGGAACAGAGGAGCTTAACAGGTATACTCACCTTAAAAGACACACCTGAACAGATAAGAATTCCCCCTCCCACTTTAGTGCTTTTAGAAGGAATTAGGAAACTAAGCCTGCCTACTGGTTATACAAAAGTGATTCCTACTTATTTTGGTGCCTCAGCAATAGTTACATTCCTAAAAAGCCCTGACCAAAACCATTAAGTAGCACACTGTTTTTCAAACAGGATCACTTGTCTTGACTGCTAAAAAGTCAGTCATTTTACTGTGAAAATCTTTTGAAAATTCATCATGGCAACAAAAAAAATTTGGGAAGTGTCCATGTTAACAATTGAGAAGTAGAAAATGTGGACTTAAATTCCAGAAATGATTAGGCTTGTGAGCAGATACAGCACAGATCAGCTACATTTTAGATGTGAAAACATTCAACCTGCAGCTGCTAGCTCAAATCTGTTAACAGAAAAGCCTCACCCAACAGTCAGTTTCACTTAACAGCTCAGGTAGGTGCTGCCTGGGGGTGTTCTCTATATGCAAAAGCCTCCTGCGTCCTGCTCCAGGTACAGACTCATTTCATATGCTTAATGCAAGGAAAAAAAAAAAAAAAAAAAAAAAAGCTTTCTTTATTTGGCTAGAATGTATCTTCTTACCTTTCCCTAAAATTATTTGGATATTAGAGATTTCAGCAGTACTGCAAGAGTTTCCAGCAGGCTGCTAAGTTTTAGTATGCATACGCTCCTGCTGACTTCAATGAAAAGCTGCTCCAGATAAAGTCTGGAGTGAAACAAAAAAACACTGTACTGCATTTTAAGATCTGCAATTTGGGGAAGAATCTTAGTATTTTAAAGCTAGGACATTGAAATTAGTCAGACAAACTAGCAGATGTGTTTTGTCGAAGAATGACATTCAACTATTTTGGATAGCCAAGACCAGAAGGTTTTTTAACTATCATTATTATTTATTAAAACAACCTACCTTTTCCTTGTTTGCAAATCCCCAGATTGCAGCAGCAATTTCAAGGGCAAAAATCACGAAGAGGAAGACAAAGAACTAGAAGACAAGGACCATGCTATTAATTACAACTCTAGCTCCACACAACAGCAACAGACACACTGCAGATTTGTCTGGTTACCAGCTTTTAGCATTGTGGGAACCATCATGTAAGCAAGTTTCAGGCAAAGATCTGAAAAGGTGACAAGAATAAGGTAACAGCACATGCTGCACTGGGTCAGCACTTCATCCTGGGAATGCCAGAAAGCCTGGATAATTTTTTCCAAGCAAAAGCTCTCCTTTTTGATCAGTGTTAATTAAAGCTAATCATCTGTTACTGAAGGCTTTAAAGTTTCCCACAAGAGTAACTTGTTCTTTCCTCACATTTGTCACCCCTGTTACTCTAGGGCCTATTATTTAACCCCTAGCATGACACCAACTCAGAACTAATGGCAACTTCTCTGTTGTGTTTCCCATAAAACAGAAACAGAAGTGTCATCTATATGTTTAGCTGACTACCAAACCACTACCATTATAGCCACTTTAAAGGGAGAGAGTCAGAACTCTAATAAGGGGTGAGAAGGCAGCATTTTGAAAGAATCATGTGAAGTGACCTTCTTCCATGACAGAAGGGGAATTATTCTTGAGCCAGCTCCAGCAGCAGTTTGCTATTAACCAAGACTCCTAGTTATTTGGATGAGTAGCTCCACCAGATTTAAGAGGATGCAGCAAACTGCACTGGGCCCTCAGCTCTGCAGGCAAGGTGGGTGCTCTCTCACAATGAACTTGGAGAGCAGCTGTCAACTGGAAGAGCCCACCCGGTGACCAGCAACACTAGAAGCTTGTTGTCTCAAAGACAAAATACCCTTGATTACCCTAAGACTAGAACTGGGGTAAAATTCAACCGTCTCTACTATTTTTTTTTTTAATTGCACAGCATTCAGAAATTAACAGTATTAATCAGTACTGTTCATTTAGTCTCATCAGTTTGTCAACTATCATTAGCCTTATCAACACTCTAGTTCTGCATTCACACATCCTGCCAGAGTCTTGTACTTAAATGTCTCGGTATATCACTAAATCTGAAGAGTCCTTATGTGTTCAAATACAACATGCTCATTTGGACTCAATATCAGAAATGGAAATTAAGTTTCATCATTTAGCTTTTTTTTTTTTTTCCCCTCTCATTATGTAGGTTGCTGTGAGCCATTATAGAACTAAAACTATCAGTATCTTCTATCCTTTAACTGTATGACCAATATTTTCCTTCCTAATGAGCTGAAAAGACACAGAAAAAATCCACAACACCAAATACTTACCAGGCCAAGCATACATTGTGATTCCTGCAGTGCACCGCAGCACCCCAAGAAACCAACTAACATCATTAGTGCACCAGCTCCAATTAGAATGTAAACCCCTAATGAAGATGGCAAAACAGGAAGGTATAAAAATTAGTTGCTCCACAGAAATTTGTGAATTTTGTCAAGGTTTAAGCTTAATTTTGAAAGTAAATCTATCTCAAAACTTGCAAGAATAATTGATAAATAAAAACTTGAAATTATAACAGATAATACACATACTCTTCTTTAGTCTTGCAAATTCTATAAAACAGGCAAAATATATAAAGGTGTCTTTTAGCCAGACTAAGATAAACTTTAGAACTGGTCACAGTCAAATTTACAATCTAGTTTTAAAATGAATGTATTACAGTGAGACACCCCAAAACAGTGATTTATCAATATATGAGGATCCTTGAAACATATAAGCATCAAGTGAACATATCTTAAGAGGTACCACAATCATCTGTCATAAAGCTTTGAATGCCTTTGCCCTTGCTTTTCCATAAGGAAATGCCAAATTATTCCATCAACCCTTGCAATACAAGGCTATACTTGAGCTCCTAAATTGGCAATATCTCCAAATACAAGAAATCCAGCAGTCAGTCTTTCTGAAAGCAGACACCCCACAAACCAAATCAAATAGACTGTGCTGCCACAGCATAAAAGGGTGCCACAGAGGGTGGGTGTGGTAGAGAGCAGAGAGCAAGCTGTTCTGGACTTGAAAGCCATTTATGCCTAAACCTCTCCTCCAAACCTCGAGCACTACCAGTTTAGTAATGACAGCTGCTCAGATGTTAGCCAGCAAGAGGTAGCTAGGAAAATGCAAGTGCCAAGGATAACCAGCAAGTTTTATCGGGATGATGAAACATGAGACAAGATAAGACAGAAACCACCAGCAAAAAGTGCATAAAAATGCTGAGCTAGTTCCACCACTACAGGACTATAGAGATTGAGGTCTGGTTTTGGGAGAGTCCCAAATTAATATTAGAGGAAAGTCATACATAAGCACTAGCAAGTGATATTCTCTAGATGTGAATATTAAAGGCATGTTTGTTTTGGCAGTTAGGTATATGTAAGTGATTAAGCCTTGACACTTCTTATCAGTAGGACACTGCAGAAATTTTAAAATCTCAGCTTATTTCCATTTGGAAATAAAAGTCCATCAGAACTCCTTATTAGAAAAAAAGTAGTACAGAAAGCTTTTAGTGTGCCTAGTTTCATATTTAGCTATAAATGAACAGATTTTGTTATATAGCTTCCTATTTGGAAGTAGTATACCAGTTAGTTCTCCCATAAAAGCATTTTATGATGTCAAGCCAGTAATTTAGTAATTTTAGTTAAATATCTCTCTAAAAACAAACCTCAAACACACAACTTCTGCAGATGAACTTTGTCTTATGATATTGCTGTATTCAGCCAGCAGATTAAGTATCAGGACACAAGTTTTGTATCTTTTAGGAAGCGAAAGAGTTGTCTCAGACTATTCAAAATTAGACTTGCTAATCAGCTAGCTCAGTTGCTAAGCTTAGCTTTCTATTCTCCTTTCAAAGTCCAGACAGAAGCATCTGGATATTTCTGTGCCTGTGAGAACCTAGTTTACTACCATACTAAACACATGACAGGTAGAACAAGCTTTACAGTGGATAGGCAGTTCGCATGCAGAGGCCCAAGTACCTCAATCTTCGTAACCACAGCCTCCAGCAAGCCTATCTTGTGCTTCCTAACACAATTCCCTGTCAGCATAAGCCACCCAAGGTGCTCAAGAGCTGCCATACAAGCTACTGCTATCAGCACGCCCTACCAGTCTCTGCCCTCCCTTCATACACTCATTAGTATGTCAGGAGAGCTTATACAACCCATGACAAGGAATAAATTTTCACAACAAACAAGAGACAAGCTGAACTACACTGCAGGCAGATAAAAAAATGATATAACACATAGGACATGGCAAATTCAGGAATTGCAATGATGCAAAATGTGCACAAGTAATGATTTCCTAAAAATCAAAGATGAAAAACACATACATGATAAAGATACACATTTGGAGCTGGCTTCAGACTTGAAGATTAGAAACATTATTTAAGATCAGCTACTTCATTTTAAAGAAGAGAGTTGAACATCTGCAGATGATTATGACAGATGAGCCTGTGTTCCTCTGTCCAAGCTTAAAAGTGATTACAGGAACTCTCACCTGTAATATTTTGATCTAATTGCATCAGAGTTATGCTCAGATGTTAGGACGAAGTGAAGATATGCATGTTTGTTGCCTGATTATAAGCCTGGTCAAGATATCCCAGGCTTTGCCCGAGATAAGATTTGCCTAGCCTTATCTTTGCCTTCAAGATCACAGTCTTATATCAAGGATCACAAAATTGAGGAATAACTTCTATATAGCTTAACTAAAGCTAAAGTGATCTAGGCTGCCTGTAACAGTTGCTTATAAAGACCAAAATACTGTACACCAATATTTCAGTATTTCTAGTACAAAATAGCACAAGTTGGGCTATAAGAAAGAGAAGCTTGTACATATATTCCCTTTGAGACACAAGAGGATATAGAGTAGTGTAAGTTAAGCTAGTCATTTTAGAGAAAATAGTTCTTGATAGTCATTTATTTTACAGGGAAACTTTACTAATTCATATCTGCAGAAGCCATGTGCACCCTGTTTACCAGGAGTCCCGAGGATAAGCAAACACTTACCAATAGTCTTTCCAAGGAAGGCTATCCCAAAAGATCATTTGATACCATTTCTGTTAGCATTGGTGCTCAAAACACAGGCTGCCTCACTGCACCAGCCAAAGTAGGCTGCTCCTTGCCTTCTGCTCAGCAAAGGCTACCCAGGCCATTTAGTCCTCAGGAAGAGGAGGGCTGACAAGCAACAAGGAAGCCAAAGCACCACCCACAGCCTGGTGTGCCTTGGTCCCAGCTCACCTGTGTAGAATGTTGTGTTGTTGGACTCCAAATCAAAGATGCTTTTGGTCTGGGAATCGAACCGAAGCCATAGTCCAATTGCAAGAACTGCTGTTCCTGCAAGCTGCAAGGACAAGTAAACCTCATTAAATAACAGGCAATTAATATAGTTACCACTGCACTAATAACAGCCTCACAAGTAGTCACAGGAAACAGCTCTGCTATTTAAAGAAGTGGTGACAGACAACAAACCAGCATAAAAGGAGTACTAAAACAAGAACAAACTTAATTCCGGACATCATGCATCTTGTTAACAGATCCATTTACAGAGTAAGCAATGGCATACGTGGACAACATCATTCCTATTCTTTACCAAAAATACCCCAGATTTATATAACTGTGCAAGCGCCTGTATTTTCCACTGACTCCTCCACTCATTGTTTTAGCCCGAATGATTGCAACAGTGTCACATGGTTTAATCTTACGTCTTCATGTGGAAGACTGGTCTTATGTAAGAAAAAGTGTGTTACTAGATATTGTATGGCTAGCTAGAAGTTTTAGAGCCTTAAACATACTAACAGAGTTCAGGATGCTAAGTACAGCATATAGAGTAAATAATTCTGCTTACAAAACAGGTTACACAAACAGGATAAGTTATCACACCAACAGGATGCAGAAACGTACATGCAGCTGAAATAACCCGATCTGAGAAAAAAAGCAATCAAGTTTTAGATAATATTTAGCTTTACTGTATTATAGACTCTGCCTATATACCTCAAAGATCCTTTTAAGACAGGCAAATCATTACTCGATATGACTAGCTTCTGGATGCAACTTCCGTCAGGAGGCATGAGTGAAATGTTGCAAGAAAGATGAAACAGCACTCTTGTAAGGCAAATGTTTGCTTTGAGCCAACACCGAGAAGCCTAATTCTCCCCATTTAAGAAACAGAAGAAGAACTCAAAAAATAAGGACAGAAGTACCATACATATAGCAACAAACATTACAAATATAATAACGATAATAAAAGAGTGATGAGAGAGAAAAAGCTTAAAGCTTAGAAAATATGGAGCTTTGGTTTAGCTAAACATGCATGGAAAGAAAAAAATAAACAAACAAAACTTATCTTTGAGAAGGTGAGGTTCCTCCTAGAAGGATGCAGCATTCTTGATTTGCCTCCAAGAAACTGGAAAGTACTTATTTTAAAAAGCCAGCTTTTCGTAAGAATATGGAAAGAATTCTCAGAAAATCCATGTGAGTGTAGTATGAGTGTATACTTTAGGCATCAACCTAATTCCTCTGGCTCCTCTGCTTGCCAGGGAAGCATAGGAGCTGTTTCCCTGTGTTACAGGGATGTTTGCATTCACCAAGGGAAGACGGCATATATTATTGCCATGGGCATTTTAATTCACTAGTCTTGCTCTACAAAAATAAGGAGAGTTGGAAGACAAGGACAGGAGGAAGGGATGTGGGAGGTTTAGGCAAGATAGGCCTTGTATCTTCTCAGAAATAAGTATCTTAAAATGCTATAAACTCAGGCACCAGCAAGAAAAAGCAAGAGGGCAGACTCATGCAAGCAGCCAGTCATGCCTGAGAAACCAGCATTACTGGTATAACAAGCACCTGGTCTCCAAGCCCATTTCAAAGAGGTGCTGCAGAGTTTTCACTGGCAAAAAGATGAAGTGATGCATAATGCATGAAAAGCCAAACCCAAACAGACTTTTCTAGACCTATGCAAAAGGCTATTAGCGTTATGCACATGTAGGCACAGGTCTGCTCACACACAGCAAGAACAAAGCCTGCACATACCTACAGCTATCCTTGTTAAAGCCATGCTGACTAAATAACTTTTGCTGAAGAATCCTGATGTAGCACAGCCCATGTTGTAACAACATATG